AATATTGACCAGCATTAAAAAGCCTCCCCATCGGCACCAAAGTATGTAATTCTTTATGATTGGCTTAAATAGTTGAAGGCTGTGTTTAACTCATTCTTTTTCCCCTTGAAATGGAGAAACTCTTATAATCTAGGACCAGACCTTCAAAGTAATGTTGGTGTCTATATTTTGGTTAGCCACCTGCGGTGAATCCAATGTTTGCCTTAACCTAATAGAAGGTATCCCAGCTAAGCCATAGAAGTCAGAGTGTCACCCTTAACCTCGTGCTTAACCTCATGGATGCCTGGTTTTATTTAAAGATGAATTACAGTCATTCAGTAAAAATCATTAACAGACATTGAAAACGGACAAGAATCACGGTCTTCTTGTCTCTGGGTGAGATCCTGAACACTAGGCCACAGCACCAACCCCTGGGTCTATCCTGTTGCACCAGTCTTAAGGTACCAGGCACATAGTCACATCTTTTGGAGCTTGGCTCACAGTTTAATTGGCTTTATTCTTCCAGTCCTTCAGATGATGGAGGATAAATTTTAAACCACTGACAGAGGACGTACACGTTCTCAGTTGCACACGCTGGTTTTAGCTGTCCGTGTTTGCTGTGCGTTAAAGCCGCATTCTCCCAGTCCGGCGGGCAGGGGCGGCAGCAGGGCCGTGCTCGGAGTCAGAGCATCAGAGTGATGCAGGCTGTGTTCCACCACGGCACAGTTCGCGAGTAGCCCAGCTTTCTGGCTCCATTACCATGTAAGGCACCTCCATTATTTATCAAGATGTAATGGAATCAGTTTGCTTTAAAAGATGCCTATATGAAAAGAATAAGCTCTTCTCAATTAACAATACAAACTACTCTTTTTCAGGTTTGCATGCAGTTAAATGCGCATAATAAAGAAAATACAGAACAGCCCAGAAGGAGATGTAACCATGAATTTTGTGAACTGAAAGAAAATATATCTAGCCTTCGATCCTGCTGGAATAAATTTGAAAAAATAATTTCCAGGTGATTCCAGGTGAATCCTGCTCTTTTCTTTCAAAGTGGCATTACTTGGTATCTTTGCATTTTATATGCATTCTTCGAGTAACTCTGCTCGTTTGTATGAACACTTTATGCCAGAATTCTGAGGGAAAGCTACTGTACCTTGTTCCTGGAGACAGAATAGATAGAAACGGCTAAGCCAAGCCGCTGAAGCCCAAGAAGTGGAAATGAAAGACCAGCGTTTGAAACAGAGAACTCTGCAGAAGGCTGTGTCCCACCTTTGTGCTCTGGAAACTACTTTGAATTTTCTGATCTTTCGAGCAACTTTATAATATCGTCATATGAAAGCAATCTACTTACATGTCTACTGCAATTTATAAAAACATCCTACAAGCTGCAGGTGAAGAAAACCTTACAGAAAAGTAGCTGGTTTCTTTATATCTGTATAAAATGCATCAGTATAAAACGCATCAAGGACCAAAAGGAACAATTTAGCAAACAAGCAGCTGATCTCGGGTCTGTTCTGCTGATGCAACGAGTCCAGCATGGGTATCTAATGGGTCTGCAAACTGATTGAGGTTTGGAAACATAGGGAAAGGGTTAACTTTTTGAAAAACTTAGGAAGGGTACTGATATTTGAGAGATGTAGCACATTTCTACTGGCTGAAGTAGAGGCAGGACAGCGAGACCTATGGAAGGCGAAAAAGAAGATGCCTGAATGTAAGTTTGTTCAGCTGACTGGAAACAGCACTACCCTTAGGTATTTGGTTATCCCAGAGTTAGCTGCAGGAGGAGCTAGAATTTCTTACCTTCAGATTGTGATTTCTCATATGCAATTATTTTATGTAACGTGTTTAACATGTTAGACAAACGTGACTTAAAGTATTTTCAGAGAATAATATATTGGCATTTAACTAATAAAGTGTTCATATTTAATTTTGGATAAATAGAAGTATTTTTATAGTTGTTTATAACTCTTTTGCAGTTTCTTACTTTGATATAACTCCTTTGGTAATAAAATATTTGTCTTCTATGGAGTTGGGCTGTTGAGTTTTTGGGTGTCATTACTCCTTTTTTAGCTTTTTTTTTGTGGCTAGTAGTTAAAAGCACAGCTGGTAATGTGACCTCCAGCTGCTTGGAATTTCTCTTTATAAAATACCCATTTCTTCGTTGCTTGTAACCTGGCCTGTTTAGGTAAACACTTCCATAGCAGGTATCTGCCTTGGTCTAAATACTTGGGAAATCTTCAGTTAAGTCAGCCTGTTGTTTCCTGGTTCAGCGTAAAGTAACATATATTGTTTTATCTGTGCTGAAAGTTTTCCGTGGAAAAAATGGTGGGGTGTGCCTCAAAGAACTGTGTAAATCTCCTTTGACTGGAATAAGATCTGCTGTACTGCATCCATGAAACACAGCGTGCCCCACTGCTAATGGCAGGTGAAGAGGTTAAGAGCAAAGCAAGCACGCTGTTATGCTTTCCTGGAATACACCCCCTCCAGCCTCCCATCTTATTTATGGCGAAGAGACTTCTTGAGGTAGGAGTAGTATCTCTGTAAAACTGTGATTGAGACTTTCATGTATTCTCTTCAGCTCTCGATGTAAGAGACTGCAACTTTAACTCCAAACACTGAAAAAAAATAAAACCATCCACCCAACCCAACCCATAAATAGGAAAGGGAAACAGATTTCCCAATATCACGCTGCAGAAAAGAGACCGTAACCACTATTGTAAGGACTTCTCTGGAAATCCCTTCTACTGAAAGAAGTCCCAGGAGACTGAGGATTAAATTTGCCTCTGAGACTGATGAACAGTTGCTTTTGTTTGGAAATTCAGCAACAGTTGAAAGCCAAGGTTTATTTCCTAACAACCATTTGGCAAGGAAAGGTCAGTGAGAATGAAGAGAAAAACAGAGATGCAATATTAGCTACTACAAAATGAGTAGTTCAGTCAGCTTAAATGACTTAAGCAGCAGCCTGCAACGTAAATCTTGAGGAAAATCAAGCAATTTCAGGCCTGTTCTGGGGAAAACACCAAGGTTAGATCCAGAGTAGAAATTTAAATGAGTGATTATGAAATTGTGGGGCTTTTCTGATTGCTTCTCTTAATAAATACCCTGCCTGCCTGACTCCTGTTGCCAAATTTCCTGAGTCACCGCAAAAGTGCAAAGACTAACTGCTAAACGCGGTGACTTGTGCTTTTTGATTTATTCCTTCCATTTGAGAACCTTCTCCGGTCTCTCCTAAAATTACAAATGTGACAAGAAGAAACTGCTCTGCAGGAATGGGCAAAGGGATGAAAACCTTGCAGGGTATCGCCACCATGCTCATTTATGGATTTATTTATTTGGCCACAGCAAAGAAGGAATATGAGTAGGTCAAAACCATAGTTTAGGAATACATGGAATTTATGGGGGAGTGTCAAGGGAAAACAATTTAGGTGTTTAAATTAGTAAAAAGAATTTCAGCACTGTTGTTGCAAGGGATTATGAGAAAGCAGAAAGGGGTGACTAACCCCTGTGAGCAAGATAATGTTGCACATTTCTAACAGCAAGAATGAGTTGGGTGCTCTGTGGTTCATAACGAGAACTTCTGGTGTTTAGGAAGCCAGGTCATGGAAGGCCACTGGAAGAGAATGTTCAAACCTCACTTTACACCATCAAACAGGTGTTTACAGCTGTAGCTCTTCAGCTAAACATGCAGGGGTAAACCTCTCCTGCCTGGTTTTACGTTTCCTTCCAGTTCTGACTCTCCAGCTTTGTGCTGAGCAAAAGAGATATTGGCTTTATGACAGGTTTCATTCAGCAGCTACTTAGGTTTTTGCTGGGGGTTCTTTGGTGGTGTTTTTTTTCCTCTTGCTATCTGATTGGAATGGTTTGCGGTGAACTAGAGTAAAGAGGAAGCCAGCATGAATAATATCACTGAATCTCAGTGGTGACAAGAGATTTTGCAGACTGTTGGCACATAAATGAATTTCATCCAGAATGAAGGGAAAAAGTATCTGCCTTCCTCTGAAGAGGGTGTGGTAAAGTAAACAGAAGAGCCCAGAAGGAGGAACTTTCCCCTAAAAAGAGGAAAGAAAAGAGGAATTGGGCTCTATTCATCTGTATTTAGCAAAAAAATAATAATCAGGAACCCAAACCCTTACTACAATTTCTGCTCACATAACTGAACTTTACAGGAAAAATAAAACTTCTGCTTTTTTTCCTGCTTAAGTATTTCATCAACAAAACAGTGCTCTAACCTCATCAAGGAGAACAAACCCAGATCAAGCTTAGGTTATAATATTATACCTTACAGACTTATTAAAAAAAAATTTTAAAAAAATTATTTACTACAGGTATCACAGTGATAGGCTCTATATAAACTAAACTCTCCATATAGTTGGGAAAAAGAAGAGATACAGAGTTAACTTTATATAAGTATATCACACTGATTCAAATATCTGGTACAGAGTATTTTTCAAGGTGACCAAGGAATCCAAATCTCATATCGCAAGTCAACTAAAAAAACCCCTATCCTTTGAAAAGAACAACGAAGTGGTTCTCTCCCAACCACTAGGAGAAGACAGTGGATGGTCCACGCATGAGGTCTGGTGTACTCGAGACCAAAGACATCAGAATATTTGTAAGGCTGAAATGATGTTACCTATCCCTATGCTATTTTATTTAATTTCACACCTGGCTACAAAAATGTGTACATCACAAAAAGTTGTATTGGCATATTTGCTTTATTGTTAACAAGTGGCAAATTAGCATTAGGTGGTGATTTACATTTATTAATTAAAACAGAACTGACACTTTAAAATAAACATAATATACCAAATAAGATGCAAACAAACCCAGGAATTCTGCAAAAAACCACTGGATGGTCACAAATATTCAATGTACTGAGGGGCAAGGCAAACATAATAAGTGCAATGCTGACAAAATTAATCACCTCAAACACATACATGAACACCGTTTAAAAACATGGAACATCAATAAATAAACTTATGAAGAAACATATTAAGTATCATATGAAGGATGAACACCAAGAGTTTGAGCAATCATATAAAGTAGGTATTACAACAGTTGTAGAATACTCAGCACTTTACAGATCAGACCCAAATCCATTCACGCTTCCGACAGAAGTCCAAATGCAAATATAGAACTATGGTAAACCATGCACTACTATTTAGAACTTAAGTTCAATATTTAGCTATTTTAAACTGAATGTTTGATTTGCTGACTCAAAAGCTTATGTTCACACTGGAGAAATATAATTTCCCTTTTGATTATTTTTGTGAAGAAGAAACACTAATTAAGAGAAAATCTGAATAAGCTCTTTTCTGGCAACATGAAATGGAATAGGGCTAAGTAGGATCCTCCAGAAATGTGTATTCTGGAAAGACATAACAAAAAAAAAAAAAAAAAGCCAACCCACTGAACTAGTATGAAAGAATAATCTCTTACATTGTGAATATTGAAAAGAAAATATCAACCAAGTAACTGCTGAATACAGGTAGGGAATCTTTTATCTAACATTTCTTCCAACAACACAATTAGGTTACTTAAACCTTATTCAGCAGAGTTTCAGGACAAAAAAAGAAACAAACAAAAACCAAAAAACCAAACCAGCAACAGAACCATCACAAGTCAGAATAAGCTGTACTTGAAAGGCAATAAAAATATTTTCACCAGTCACCAAAACCAATTTCACCAAAGATTAAAATTTTACCCTGTCATACAACCCATATAATTATTCATATCCAACTGAAAAGAATTAAAGTTGCAAAAAGTGCTCTTATAAAACACAAATTTGTCATCCAAGACTAAAAAAACCCCTTGCAACAAGTTAGTTCTTTGCATGTATACAAAGTCTATGCGATGGAAACTAGCACGTCTTGAGAACTTTGCAATACATAGACAGTATAATTTCATTTTATACTCAGACTAATTATATAGCCTACATCAAGTGTGCACTGCCACATGCCTGGTTTATTAGTGTTTAAACTACTGCAGTCGCAGTCATACCTCCTTCCACTGATTTTAGTAAGCATGCATCACAAAACTGTTCTCTTTGCATGCTGCGTTTCAGGCACCAACTCCCGGTTGCAACGGTGAACTAGGAGCTAGTCTCTCTCAGATGACAGAGAACTTCCATGATGCTTGAAGACTGGGTCAGATCTTAATATACATCTTGGAGTTACTGGCCTGTGAACAAAGCTCCCGGCGGGGGGGTGGAAAGGGCCGGGCCAGCCACTGCCGGCAGCACAGGGTGAGCAGGGTCAGTGCCCGGAGCACCATGGAGAGCTCCTCAACAGCCATCGCCTCCTTCCCAGCCCAGAACCCCCTGGGTCGAGCGTTTCAAATCCCCTCAAGGGGATTTAAGGGCTCCTCGGCGAATTTGAAAAATTCTGCCTAAATGTTCATTTCATATGTACAAGCTGAAGTGGTGGTAAAGCACCTCCCCATGCCCACTTCCCTGGAGTGGTGTGTAAGACCAAGGGTGTAACTATCCATATAACCATATACTGAAGTTTCTGTGTATTCAGAGATTCCAGTTCTGAAACTACCTAGGCTGTGAGTATCATGCATAAATATAAACCTGTGTAAGATACATCTCAAAGATTAAGCCTTATGCTATGTTGGTTTTACTATTGAAGCTGGTATTTTTCATAACTCCATTGCGCTTATAACAGTATAGTTCCTGCAGTATAGCTCCTGCACTCCTTTATGGCACAGAGATGTCCCTTGGGTAACAGATATTCACAAAAGCAGAATGGGAATGCAAACACCATCAGGCCAGACCTCAAAAACAGCCTTCTCCTTGTTTCTTTATATGCAATGCTACCTTTTCTTTTTTTCTTTCTTTCTTTCTTTTTTAATTGAATGGAAGAACCTTAGTAAGCACATTAGAAACAGTAAAAGCACATTAGGACAGTAAAAGAAAGTCTGTCATAGGGTCAGATGTTGGTATAGACATCATTAAAACAATCACATCAATAAATTTCACTTTAAATGGACAGTAACTACATTAGTCTACTGTCTGAGGCTTCACAATTCTCCAGCCGCATTCAGTCCTGTTTCATATCAACTCTGCTTTAACGAACAACTTTTTACATTTGTAGAACTTACAAGTTCTCACAAAATACACGTGTGCTCATGTGCACGCCCTATATATATACACACACACACACACACACACACACACAGAGAACTATATGAATTGATGCTAAATGGTGTAATTGTATTATCCTAATTTTACACATGAATGCTAAGGAATTTAGGCTCTTAGGCTCTTAAGTTAAATATCTGTCAACAAGGCATCCAGAGGATGACACTAACTAAGTTTAGACTCATCAGTGAAGGGCATCAGAAGTGCATAGTTCATCTTGGGGTTTTATCTTCACAATTATCAATATTTTGATCCTTGAAACATTTTGGAACACTCCCCTTCCAGTATAGGTATCTCTGTTTTCTCCTCCCATGACAGCCAAGCCATAAAAGCAGGGGGAAGGGCTAGGGCAAGAGGGTTTGGACCTAGGCTGTTAATAAATTAAATTTGGGAACTTCCTGACACGTGTAACGTACCTAAAGATTCAAAATTCAGAGTCCATCTCCCTTAACACTTTATTTTTTCTTTAAAATATAATAAATTTGTTTCCCATATTCAGTTCTGCAGGGGCATTATGAAAACAAATCTACTATTTCCTAACAAACATTCCACTGAGATGGAATTACAGCGATCTGTGCTAGTACCTTGTGTAATACAGTCTAAGTTTTCTAAAGTCTCTGATGTTACAGACCGATACGATTCAGTAACAAAAGCAGTTAATGAAGTGGCCTCTGATAGTGCCTGCACAGTCAATCATATTTTCATTGTCTGCTTACATTTATTGTAGATTCAAACACATACACGTTATCCAATGTTACTGTCAACGCTCATTTGTGTTTCACTGGACCTTCTTGTAAGGACAAATTAGAAGTTCAGAAATACTTTAAAAATTCTTCTTTTTGTTCAGGTTAATCCCTTGTCTTGCTATAAATCATAGAAGTGTAAATAAAGTAAATGATGTGTCACTCAAGTAATTTACTAAGTGCTGCACTGGAAGCAGAGTTACACAAACAGCTCAAAAAGCAGAAATTATGCTAACTTGTATGTGGATTGATTTGAAACTAGGAAACCTGCCACCTACAATTCAAAGGCGAAACAGTCAATATGTTTTTTCTACAGTTACAGCAATCCTCAAAAACCCGGAAGGTATTTATTTCCTTACTAAACTTTCCCTTTGTAGAAAGCATTTTCAATAAGTGCTAAAATGCATTTTTCCAGCAGAAACAAGAACTGGAAATTCATCAAGTCAGACAAAGGAATTGATTCCTCAGTAAATTCACTAATGGATCAACCCTATTCCAGACCTGTATCTTTGCTGATGGAGACTCAGCTTGCAGTAATTCAGCCTGCAGACCTCCATGGCCCAACCAAGTCCAGGCAAATTTTTTAAAGCAGGCTTACCTATGAAAAGGATGCAGGATTCAAATTTTTGCAAGTACAGATATGAATGTGCCAATGTGGATCCTAGAACCTAAACCACCTAGAACATAATTCAGCTAAGATTTGTCAGTTCCAACTATCATTACCAGTCATCCACTCTACCATGCTCAGTAGCCAGCTTACGCAAATTGTAATAAAACAAGACGGCACTGAATGAAGGATAATTTCTAAAAATAATTTTGTATAAAAAGTGTAAGACAATTCCACACTATTGACCTAATTCTAAAACATCAATAGTTTGTGGCCTGCAATGTGACTACATCAAGTATCTTAAATCTCTCATCCTCCAAGACTGGTACCTGGTTTGGAGACGCTTTTCTTCAATCATGCTTTCTTCAAAATTGGCCCCACCAATAGTAATCAGAAGTTTTGAGAATGCAAACAATGATCATAATACTATCATGGAACACTACATTGTATTTTGCATAAGCTACAAAGAAATTATATGAATTGACACTAATGGTGTTTGTGAGCTGACAGTAACAATTTCTGACGAGAAGAGTGTATTTATTGTGGGAAAGGCACAATTAAGTTCTTTCAGATTGTTCTTTCGCGCATAACTAAGATGGTGCCAGTACTTCAAAGCAAAACGTCACAAAACAAATTACTACATTCAAATACAAGTGGTTTGGCGCGTGATTTTTTTTTTTTTTATGAATTACACAAGATATTAAAACAACAACTTCCAAGGCCTGACCCTTCTTCTCAATGAATTAATGTGAAGTCTGTTACTAACTTCAAGAAGTTGCTGTTCAGAGCCCAAGAATACACAAAATTGAAAAAAAAAACCAACCCAAAAAACCATGTAAGATATTAACACTTAAACCTATGGAGCACAGTTACTCCATTATGCACTCATATGTAAGCTGTGCTATTTGCACCGGAATAAGAATAAAAAACAGCCAGTGCTTACATCAAATTCTACTGCTCTAATAACATACACTTTTTTTGTACTAGATACATCAAGAAGGCCATTTTCAAAATAAGAGTTCAACATTTAGGTAGGTTAAGCATAGACTTTGTCTCTCCTTCAGGAAATGAGGGAAGAGGAAAAAAAAAGGAGTGGGACCTTTGGAAACCTTTAAAGACAAAAAGCACAAAACTTTTAGTTATGCTAGTCATGGTGGAGCACGGGAGGAGGAAGACAAGTATTTCTGAACAACAGGAACAATAAAATGATGATATCATATTTGTCCTCATAAACACATAAAAATATCACATCCTTAATGGAAAAAAGAACACAGAAAGCCACAAACAAAAATCTTCTTTTTCTTCTTACATGTGAACAGAATTCTCAGGTAGTTTTTCCCACTTTGATTCTTTAAAAAATCCTAGGAAATAACTGAAAAGTCCAATTAGGATATTACTGTTAAAAAATTTACAGGGATCCAGACTTTTTGCTCTTTTAACTAGGAATTTATAAGGAGTTGCTCATCTTGTTTTCACTTGGAGCATAGCATCTAAGTTACTGTGGCATATGAAGGAGATGCCTCCACAGAGAAACTTTTGAAGCCCAAGTTCTTCATGGCTAGTTCCCTATGGGTAAGTATTATTCTAAATAAGTGATTTAAATAATCCTTTCTCTAGTAGGGATTTACAAGCAAAATAACATTGAACCACTTCTGCTATCTAAATTACTTAACACATTTTTACCTTAATTTTAAATATTTTCAGCAGAGATTAAAAGAGTATTTCCTTGAATGGCACAGTTTTAGGTACCTGCTATTTTTATATACAGTATATATATTTGCTTATAAATAACTGTGTAACCAGAAGATTGCACTCGGAAAATTACAATATGATGTTTTAACATGTTTGCAGCATGAAGTCTAACTGGAAGGAGTGCTCTAGCTTTCCATGCAGCAGTACATAGCCAATGCTTCCAATTTCTCATCTTCTTTTTGCTTTTAATAATGCGTTCACACAACCATTCTTCGAATTCCACACTCACAGCAAAACTTCGCCCATTCCACTGGATACCTTGTTCCACATTCATGGCAGAACTTTGATAACTGTACAGGTGAATTTCCTTCACTGCTTTTCGAACTTCCTCCATTGACTGAGGATGGGTAGTCTCCACTGTCATACCCAATTTTACCGTCAGACCTGAAAATCCACAGATAAAGAACATTCTCTGTAACTCAGTTCAGTACAACCTGATGCAAAATTATTCTGATCTTTGCAGTGAATTACTACTATTGTTACCATCATTTTCACGCTTACACTTCCTCTTTATTTATGGTGGCATACCTTATAACTCTACCCAGACTTCCCTACTTATTCCCAGATACCTACCTTCCCTGCAAGAAAACAAAAAATGCCAAAATTTTAGGAGCAGGATCAAATATTTGATTCACTAGTTAGATTAACTGGAGTGTCTAAAAACTGGAAAATTTGCTCATCAAAACAAGGAAACAGCAACACAAGTTTTACCCTACTCTTTAAAAGGGCAGACAACAGACAATTTGTGTGCTTAGCATGCAAATTTAATTCAATTTCAACTGAACCACTCAATTCCCATTTGAAAGACCATTTACTTATTTTTTCAACAGCTCCTAAGAGGTTTTTGACACTTCTGTCTTCTGTGCCCATCTGAGACAACTGATGAAAAAGATGTTCTGTTAGATAATAAATATGCAAAATATATTCAATACCTTCAACATGCCAAATAATATTGACCATGACTTATCTATTAACTGCAGAGAACAATATTTTCCACAGGTTCTTTTGTAATAAGTATCCCCTTTAATGAAGGCTCTATTGCTGACAAAATCCACAAAGTTAAAAGCTACCTTGAGTAACCATCCGAATTGCTAGTTTTTCTTTTGTTTGTTAGAGCACCTGTGCTCATGGTCCTTGCCACACTAGGAGGGGTTGATGTCCGTGTTTTTGTTGCACCTCTAAAACAGAATAAATATCTGATGATTTATATGCACACAGAAATACAGACAAGAATATGCATTTACAAATGACAAAAATAAGTTCAACAATCTACACATCAATTAACTGTATGAAAAATATAACTTATTTCCTACCAAGAGCAGACAGAAGAGCTTTGGCATGAACTTGCATGGTTTGGACTGAATATGACTTGAATCTTACAATGACAAGCTAAATAGAACAGTACATCCCTTCCTGTTCATGCGTTTAACTTGCTATCACACCAAAATACAGGTAGATCCTGCACTACAGGTTGTTTTGTATGTTCTAATGTCTCAACAGACTACAAGTCACTTTTTAGTACCAGCATGGCTTTCAGAGAAATAGAAAGCAGCTGACTTCAGGTCTTAAGTCTAAAAAAGAAAAAAAAACGTAGGAAGGATACCACATTCTCAATACTTTGTGACCAATATAAGGTGAGTCACGTGACTTTTTTATCTTCATAGCCACAGACTTTACTTAGGATGCATACTTCTCAGATAATGCTGTAGACCCTCTTTCTTCAAAGCATCAATATTATATTTATAAATATAAATAGAAGGAGGAAAGTCTACCCAGCTGGGCATTAGGGCCTCATTTTTTTCTAGCCTGTCACAGTGTTCTTAAAGTTGGCTTCAATAGTACGACCACACAGCTGTGAAAGCTCCTTTCCCCAAGACTCACGGGTTTTATAAGAAGCCTGTATGCAATAAACAGCACATCCTAAACATACACAACATCTCACTGCTTGATTTGATGAGTAGAGAAACATCAGAGTCCCCTGAAAAATATGAGTAGCACTAAGAAAGAGTTAGGAAGGGGCATGCTTTTATCATCAGCAGATGGACAGAATTTTTCATCATTGCTCAAAAGGATTACCATTCACTGGGATTTCTTCTTCTTTGGCAAGACTTCACTGACTATGACATCATGTGCATGACCCACCAAGATTTTCTGTTCTCATTCTTGAACACCGATGCAGAAATGAAATTTAAGTTGGGACTGGCTTATGGACATTAAAAAAAATTAAAACAAGACTCCATTTAAAAAATTAGTCACTAAGAGCCCAATCAGCAACAAAAACCCAAAAGTGCTTTTTTTTTTTTTTCTTCCCTTCATATGAACCTAACTGCTCCTTTCAGAATTATAAACAATTTAGTCTTGGTTTGATTTTCAAAGTATATAGAAGTAAATGTATTCAACTTCAGTAGCTTCAAATGCAACACTGACACAACTGAGGACCAATGTAATAACTTCTGAATTTTACACATGTTGCATAAAACATTTCTTCCTTCATAAGTGTTGGCTAAAAAAGGGTTTTCAGCTCCTTCCATCACTTAAACACTTCAGTGGAAAAGTGATCAAATGATTAAGCACAAAAGTGGAAATCAGGAACAAAATTTAAGATTAAATCAAGTGAAATTGTATCTAACTAAAGTATTCAAGTTGAATAAGAATGGCTTCTACATGCAACAGGTAGAGTGGAACCATCAAAGATTCTGGCTCACTGGGCAGAACACCAACCTTCTCTGTTAGTTTTCTTGTCTGCTCTCTTATTTAGCAAGGCGATTCTAAAGATGGTTTTATTTAAAGAAGAAAAAAAAAAAAAAAAAAAAAAAAAAAAAAAAAAAAAAAAAAAAAAAAAAAAAAAAACAACCGTGCAGACTGAAAAGTTATATCAGAATTAAACCCTATTAGAAGTTATGTCAGTCTTTCAGAAATTACAGAATTCCAGGATAGAAGTTCTAAATGTCACCTTAATTACACTGTTACAAGTATGCACAACAATACAAGACACTAAATATTCTATCTTGTGTTATTTCCCCCCCATCTCGTTTTACACCGAAAAGAGACCTTTGCTTATAATTGAGTAAAATTCATTAGAGCTCAATAGTGGAAAGAACACATTGGACTGTTACTTTACTTGTTATGGAAGCTAGAAAAGCATATAAAGAAAAATTTAGCTGTAGACACAGAAATTGTATGGATCATCACGGATCAGGGATGATCAGACAACGATGCAAAGAACAGAATTGTGTCTCAATTCCTGTTCAGATAACTCCAAATAATTTAAAACAAATTTTTCAAAAGTATTACTGACTCAGTTTTCTCTGGATTTTCAACTTGGGACCAATGTACTACTTTTTCAAAACTAAAAGCATTAATTTCTTAACATGGAGTCTCTTCAGGATGTACTTTGAATCAATAATTTTTTAACATAATGCTAGGAGTCCTAGCCATTTAAAAGAAATAAACACGAAAAATTATTCACCTGTTCTTTCCTGTATTCCAACTATTCAATTCTCTAAAATATGCATAATACACCCTCATCCCACTAGGTAGTCTGAAAATTCATCTGATGCTTTAATATTAGGTGTGCATTAGAGAGATTTCCCAGAAATCAATGTCTTAAACTCATGATTTGTATGGTGTGCAGCACAGCATATAGGCACTGACTGAACCAGGAAAAAAAAACAACAAAACATCAAAATATTGAAAGTGCACTGTCCACCCTGTCTCTTAAGGAAGAGAGAGTCCCATGAACAGACAAAACATCATTCATTAAAGGTTTAACAGGATGTCTTAATTCTGAAATGTTTAAACATAGCTTTCTGCATAATTTCTGCAGATTTTTCCCCAATTAGTTTTCTAAAAATACAGAAAAAACAAATCTGTTTTCAGACTAGAAACTTTCATATGATTCTTATGATTGACTGCAATGATTTCTGCCATTTTTGATGAACATATCAACAGAAGTAGTAGGCTGCCACTGTCTACAACTTTACTCACTCCATATCGAGACACATAATTAGCACCAAGTTGCATGTCTGTCTGATGACAAATCTTGAAATTACATCCTTAAGTTGCAGTCTGATCTCTAGAGACAGATGTCTTCCAAGAAAATCAGACATTCTTGATTCTCTCAACTTTTGTTACCACAGCTTGGTCTTTTCTGATCTGTCCAGCCTCTGCCACTTCTATCTACTTGTCCAGTTCTGTTGTTTTTTCTGCTTCGTTGGATTTTTTTTATTTGTTTTTCCAAAGCTATATAAACCCCTGTTCTAAGTTGTATCAGATGAAGTATTAATGGAGCCTGACAGCAGATGAGGCTGTGTACCAATGTCACCTTGAACTCTTAAAATCTGGATATGCCTTTAAAGACATTTATTATCCATTCTCAATTTCAAAAGGCATAAGACTGAAGGGGACTTCCCTTCCTAAAGCAGCTCATGTTGTACATCTGACTGAATTACCACTACTTGCAAAATGAAAAACTGAAAGAAATTTGTAAAAGACGACTGTCTTTTTTATTTACACGTTCACAATCTGGTTGGATTTTGCCATAAAATACTGAAGTATCAAGGTTGCTTCCTAGACAGGGCGTTTTCAGATACGCTTGACAGCTATCACTATCACCCCTAGCAGCTCATAGTTCTGTGCAAAGTCATAATAAGTTTCTTATGACTAATGGCATGCATGCCAAAGTCCAGAAACTTTTGCCATGAACTGTAACCATCCACATTGCTATGTTGAATTTAACAATGTCAAGTAGCTGTTCACATTTGTCCAGTGCTGTTGGCACGTAACATATTGAATAACCTCCTGCAAGGAAGACAGATTTAATTCATTAACTCAGTGGACATCTGAGTAAGAACAAAAGCGATGTTATGAAGAGCAGAGTAAGTGCCAATACTCTTAAGGAAGTTCTCTCAGGAAGACAAATCAAATCACTGCTCTAATGGATAGTGGCTATTGTAAGCACATGTAGTAACTCACTAAGCCAAATTTTCCACATCTTAGTAACATTATAAAATGAAAAACTGACCTAATTTTTGACGGTTGACAGAATTTACAGCTTTAACCAAACATGCAAACGAATAAAAAAAATGAAAAAAATAAAAAAAAAAAATCTGTTTGTCTAAGAGCAGCTCTGCCTGCTTTCATTCCTTTCGCTTCTTCAAATAGAAACCGAAGTTCAAATATTCTGGCCCTGTTTGAAAGATACTTCAGCTTTGTTTGCAAGACTAAAACAGCATTAAGAGATTTAGACAAGTTTCTACTATTTAAAACATTACATTCCATGTATACGCCACATAATTCATTACTAATTTATCTCTTGCAATATGCTTTAAGGTATTGCTTATTACGTCCATTTGAATTTGGCATCTCCCAAATTATATCAAAGTATTAACTACAATGTATTATCTATTTCCTTTTTAAAAGACTGGAATATCCTTTCTTCCAAACTTAGATCATAAACTGAATATCCAAGAACTCTTTGTATGAGATAAGTTGGACTTAAAAGATTTTTACCTCTCATTACAAAGTCTGCCTTGCTTACATTCTTGGACCACCATAGCTATCTTACAGAAGTAGGAGATAAATAAATATTTTACTTTAAGAGAATAAAATTACTTTGCCATAAATAATTTGCCTGTAAGACAGATACCTGTACAGTTATTAGGCTTAAATGCTTACTTCAGCTTTACATCATGCAAATTCAGTTTTTTCTCTGGTTTACAAAGACAGAAGTTCGTTACTCTTAGTCCATAATCAGTGACAGAAGAAATCAAGTCTGAGAAAAGTCTTCACCTTTTCCTGTTCTACTATGAAGCTGTTGACCTAGCATGAAACAGATACTTATACTAATTATATTATATACTCTTCTCCTGCAACATTTATATTGAAGACACAGTGGGCAGAAGATGACTGTCAAGGTCACACTTTTACTATTCCAACACTTTCGAGGAACATTGCTGCAAAACAGATAAACCACACTGATTTGTAATACTTACTTCTTTATGGGCAACAACTCATTTGGTCTTTTGATGGTACTGTCTGTTTTTGTATCAGTGTCATAAAACCTTTGCACATCTCTTCCAGTTCGCAGTGGTGGGCCTAACTTGTCCATCTTACTACTAAAATATATAAAGGGGTACTCATAAGGAGATTGCTAAATTGCTGTTCAAGTTACTGCAAAAAAATGTAAAGTACTCACAATTAAATAGTTATACTCCCAAAGAATTCCCATTGACTAAAAAAATGTACAAATCAGACTTTCATAATCCAGGAAACAAAAGGGTTCTTACTTTAAAGAAAAGATTTCATAGACTTATATTTGGATTAGGTTTCCATTGGGTATTTTCTTTAATTCCATTTTAAATGAAACAAAAAACTATTGCCAGTTATCCTCACAATCTGCACAATGCACTCACATTTGGCCCTTTTTCTTGTAAGAATAGCTTTTATAATGTCAAACATCACATCTAGAAAAGGAGGCTCATAATTACAAGTCATAGCAACTTTATTAAGAAGTTAAGAAATAAGAGAATAAGAGATGTAAGTACAAGCCTCCTTAAACTTTAGAATTAGCAAAAAAGAAAATTTTTCCTTTTTCACATTTTTTTTTTTTTTTTGTAAAGGCTGAACATTGTGCCTAGACAGAAAAACAGGCCTTCCATTCTCTTTTATTTTATGGAGATGAGAAAAGAACAGAGGAAAGCCTGAAAGAAAAACAACTTTGTTTTAATATCGAAAAATCCACTCACATTGACAGTACTACAGACACAGGCAATACTTTAATACTTTTTTACTATTATGGATAAAATCTCCAAACTAAAAAGAATAAACCAAAAATCAATTTTTAAAAACATTAAATAAATAAAACCCCAAATAAAACACACCATGATCCCTCCCATACATCATCATAAGGAGAAATGTAGCTTTTGTGAAATCACAACTTATATTAGAAAAATTAGGTCTTCAAGTAAGGTTCTGTGTTTTGCTCATCTTAAACCATACAGTAAAACCTGCAAAAAGCCCATTCCATTATATCTCCACCCCTACCTCAATCATGCAACTGAAGTTTCTTCTTCTTAAAAAACACCTAGTAACTTAAGCCTTAACTGGAAAATCGACACTTGAAGTATTTTTATTGATCTTTCTAAAATTAAAGAACTACAAAGAAACAAATCAAGCAAGATTGATGGAAGTGTTTAGGTAGCTGAAGTTAAACTCCTCTTTAAGCTTCACCCCCCTAAAGTAAGTCATAAGGAAAAAACAAGCAAAACCAGCAAAACACACCCTCACACCAAGAAAAATAATTCCTTAAAATTACTGTGCAGTTTTCAGATTCTTGTTATAGCACCTTAATGAACTACAATGCCAGGAAAATTACTAAACAGCTAATTGCTGTCAAGGAAGCATATTAGTTTCAATATAGCTTTTAACAGATATAAAAGAGGTTCTTGTGTATCTCCAACATCCATATCGTACTACTTTTCATACTCCTTCTACAATAACATAATATTAAAAAGCATAGAACCGATAAAGTTTTTTCCAACATAATTTGGTTTTTGGGAAGCTTATGGGGTGAACCTTGCAATCCACATTACTTCTCTAAAGCATCAAAGGAAATATCCCCATAAGGAACAAAAATTCAACAATGCTAAATGATATTCATTCATTATAAAGTCAGCAGGGAACATGACATTTTAGTCTTGACAATTTAGCCCCTAATAATGCAGACTGTAAGATTCCCCTAGGGTTCCTCTTCCCACTCCTCCTTCCAAACAGATGTTCTAGTTCAAACTAATTAACTCAGGAAATGCTTAATCAATTCCTGTTTGACCAAATACACACTCTTTACATATTTCCCAAGGACCAAGAAGCAAAACCGAGGTCTCTGACACTGCAAGACCCATACTCCAACCTATCGTGATTTTTTTAGCTCTTTTCTGAACCTTTAATAATTTATCAATATAATCTGTGAACTCCAGGCATCTCCAGCATACAATGTCAAAGATAATAACCTAGAAGTCATGATACTGCCAAAATAAAGAGCTACAGTATTCTTCCATGCTTATAAAACAAAACCAAAAAAAGCAAAGCTGACAGCCCTCTCATTTACTAATGCACAATCGTCAGAATCTTCTGAAATGCAAAGACCACCAAGACAACTTATTTACCTTGATTTCATTGAACAGTTCTATGCAAGTTGTAGTCTTAATGAAAGGAACAACATAGTTTAAAACTATAATACTTTTAAAGGCTATACATGCTGTATGGCAAATATATAAGTGGAATTTACTGATACTGGCTAGGTGTGCCATTCATATTGCATTTCAGCTGTAAGACAGTACTGGATGTGTCACTAACAGACACGATTCCCATGAGGCATAATTTTGATCAGCTTAGCACTAAATAGTATGGTTTATCCCCAAAATAAAATAAAAATGACAAAGTAATTTCTACTTTGGGTTCATATGCCATATTGAAAAACATGACATAATTTTCCAGTAAAAAAAAAAATACTGTTTATAAATGAAACATGCACAGACAATTAATCTGTACATGCAAAAGATCCCTGGGTGGCCACAAGCAGTAGTGTCAAGTTCTGCTAGGCTGAAGAGTTTGATTGCAGGGGTGGAGTCTGCTTATTTGCTTAGCCTTAGGATAGGAAGAACCACCTACCCATTTTTTAATCATGAAGATCTGATTAATTCTGACATCTTATTAGAAGCTGCCTTACCCCTCAAGAAATGTCACACAGTGCTAAATTCTGTACCCTTACAAAATATGAATCAAACTTAGGATCTTAACATGATTCACTATCAAAATATAAGCCTAACTACGATGTATGTAGAATTAGTTTTCCTTTTCCCGGTTCTTCGACATCAAAAAGATTAAATCCTATTTTCATACAAGTGAATGAAGGCTTTCCTATTGACTACAGTACAGTCACACGCTATTCTTGCACTCTTGCTTCTCTAGGACTCAGAAGTTTTGCCCTTATGCTACACTTCCAGTAATACTTAAAACTGGCTGTGCTCTTACTCTGTCCAGGAAGAAAAAGAAAACTCTTACAGCAGAGCTCAGCTGACACATCCTGATCTACAGGTACAAAGTAAGCCTCACTTACGCTAGCCTAGCTTACGTTGATGATGCTGTGGTGTGCTTGCTCAGTAGTCCTTTAGTTGGGGAGCAGAAGAGGAGAATTCAAATTAAAAAAAGAAATAATATAGCAAAAATGACTTAAAATAAGGGAGTTCATAAAATTTGGTTGCATTTCTGCTCATACAAAATAAAATCTTATACTGTGAGACTGGAGTTCCATCTTTTATGAAATGAAGTTCAAGAATCTTTCCTTTACAGAACAAACACCTTACGCACCCAATTCATTTTAGCCTTCACCTTTAATACAAATGCACGAACAGCGTCATGTGCCTGTCAATAGTTTCAGGCAGCGATTCAAGGGTGCCACCTAAAGGGCAAGAGGGAAACTGCACACCTCTACATTTTAAATCACGTCTGGCTGTTACATTAGCCAGCAGAGTGTCATTTCTCGTCCCTTTGCATATCCGTCACAGCAAACAGGTACCATGATTCTAGAGAAAGAAGCAGTGACTGATTAAACTGCCCCCTTCCAACATACATATAATTCATCCTTGATATTGCACAATATAACTGTAATTCTACTATTAAGCCTCACTACCTCTCTGTCAAGTCTGGAATTACAACACTCTAGGCAAAAATGGAAGGTTTCACTTAATTAATATGTAAAAATAGAAAAAAAAATCAGTTTGCCTTAAGGAAAATCGCAGGAGCTTATTTTTTACAGCAAAAACTGGAATTCAACCTGGTCAAAAAGTGTGTAGGCTCTTAAATATTTGCCAAGGGAAAAAAAACAACCCAACATGTGATCACTTAACATTCCATTTGAAAGATTGCCCTTAAAACAATACATGTGCAACACTGTGCTTGGTAAATCAGTTCATTAACAACTCAGAAGGAAGACCTTACAGCATGAGCTCTGCCTGACTTAGGTACAACAGAATCCCAGGTCTCATGCTAATGGCTTGTCATTTTACTGGTTAAACTGTAAATGTAAAAAAAGAAATACATCTTCTTTCATCCTAATGAAGGTAATTTTCATAAAATTTTAAAAGTGCTTTTATTTTATAAAATAATTCTAGGTGCAATTAGCTATAGCCTAAGTGATAAGATGTTTTAATGTTTAAAATCTGCGTCACTACAGTATTAACTACTCTCACTCCCTGACTTAAATATGGTGACTGTTAGTGTCTCAGTGCCTGCTCTGATATAGTTTCATAGGTATTTCAACAGAACCCAACGTATTTCCCCCTCACATGCCAATACTAAGGCTGAGATCATTAAGGCCAAAACTGTCACTAGTGACCAATCTGAGGCACCTAATTCTTCCATGTTGTAACTGCTCCCACACCTCTTTGCTTCAAAATAACTCCTGACAAACTTGTTCTCGGAAGTGAATGCAAAGCAGCTAAAAGGAAAAAATTGCTAGGCCTCAGGTATAACACAGGAAAGAGACACATTTAAGAGCCATCCGTGAGAAGACTGGTTAGTATGACCAGCAAGAAATCATAAGGACTGGTTGGTAAAGACAAGAAGAGAATGCAAGTTTTTTAGAGCAGAGAAGTGAGAAGGACTGCAGGCAGAAACACACTCATCACACCAGTACTCTTGAAAACTGGAAATTATGTAGGCAATTAAGTGAGGTTATAAGCCAAGCTAACATTCACTGCCTGTCAGCAGAGATCATTATCTGAGAGCTCTGCCAACCAGAAGTCATCTATTTGCAGTTAACAGCATGTGTTAACAGAGAGAACCTGTGCAAACATCTCTCCATATATTAACTGCTATTTGGCTCAGTCACATCATGATTCTTCCTCCAGGCTTCAGAAGAGGAAATGGATGACTACAGAATACAAAGTAGTAAATCCAGTGAGCAATTGACTGGTAAAATTAAATAGAACTTCCTTGTTAGGAAGCGAAGACCAAAACCAGTACCCCCTCACAAACCAATACTGCAATTAGAAACTCTACCAACAGGAAAAAAGCCTTTCCCAGACAGCTGAGATTCACCACTGGGGTCAGAAACATGCCTTCAAATTATCTCAGCTGGCTTTTTTACTGTGGTTTGCAGACCTACTTGTTTGCCACTCATCAGTAGGTGTTAAACTCAACGCCTGAACATGGACAAATGTGATAGAGGGTGGGGTTTTCTGACAGTCAAAGCATAGATGCCTACAAACAGTAGTGAAGCTGACCTGCAGACCAAAGACTACTAGGATGCTCAGGGGGGATAAGAAAAAAAAAAAATTCTGACAACCTCACAGTCTCTGCCTCCAGTCTGTGTCTGAAAGACTTAGTATGAGCAGGTAGAGCAAGGAGTGACAGAACTGCATCCTCATGCTACGTGGTGTTAGGAGGGAGGTATGACATAGCTGTAATTCATAGTTGTGCATAACTTGTAAGACTTAAAAGCAATAAACTAAAAATCACTAGTTTTGTGTAATTAATAAAGACGTCTATCCCCATGAGTTCTTTCAGAATGTCCTTCTTCTTCCCCAAAAACTTAAACTGTTGTTTTTCTTCACCTTATACAGCCTTTGCCAATCTGATACTCATTTTTATAGGATTAAGTCTTCTTCAGTCCCCAATGTTATAACTGCAATCACTTTGATATATTTTTTAAGTTTTCTCTCAGTGCTCCTCAAACTTCTGTAAAATTGCACTACTTCAATCCCTTCCATACATTTCTTCTCTGAGATAATGTGCACTGCCTACTCCCCCAGCAAAATATCAGTAACAGCCCTGACCACACCAGCACTTCCACTGAACTCTAGTAACCTATATCTACCGCTTCTTGTTGCTGTTGTAGAGCACTGGTTTCCATTGCCTTATTTGTGCTCATTCACTTCTTGTCTCTTGAGTATTTTAAGACAGGAAAGGGAAGAGGGAACGTATCCATCTGTTTGTGCCAAGACAGAAGAACCTGTCACAACTGGCTTGTGGTCTGTGGCAGAGCCATCTTTTATTTCCACAGATTGCAGGAAGTTAAGCCTAATGTAATTCTTAATTGCAGGAAATTACGCCTAATTCTCCTTTTTTAAGTCTCTTCACTTTTACAAAGAAAAAAAAAATTATAGCTCCAACCACTTCTGCATATTCTATAACTTTTTAATCTACTTTGTATCTTTTTTTATTCAGTTGACCACCTTTGCTGTTATTTTAACATTAGAAAATGCATCTTTGACTACTCCAATGTTCCTTACACATTATGTATATAAATAAAGAATAAATTCAAAACACTGCACTTCTGAAGCTCACAGGAAAAAATTGCAAGTGAAACAGACCAGAGAGACTTCCAGAACTTAGCACAACATAAATACAAAATAAAGCATAAAGTACAACATTAAATGGAAACTTACCCTGCCTGTGGGTTCACCATTCCCAATGAGTTTTTATGAGCTGGTGATAATGTCTGAATTTTGCTACCACTGGATCCAGACGAAGGTAGTGCTTTACTTGAAGAGGCACCTTGCAGTTGAAAGCAAGCATGGAAATATAAGAAAACATAAAGTTATCTGCTGGAATGATACAATTCATTATATATCTTTTAATTGTAAAATTGAAACCAAGAGTTTTAGAATTACGAAGACATGAACAAGTGTCAAGATACTAGGAAAAAGCAAGTATGTTTCCAGAAACCTACAGAAAATATGCAATTGAGACATAATGTTCTATTCTAATGAAAAACACTGGATCTCATTTACTTTCTTCAGAAAGAAAAAGGAAAGAAAAGATGCCTCGGATGTCAAAGTATGTACTAACAGAACACGTTTGGTATCTGATAATATCTGAAATCACGAGTAAGACCAGTGTTTGTGTAAGTATAATATACATGGCTTGACCATGTATTTTCACCAATTCACGATCATACTCAGCATACAAATCAGTTACAGAATTAAGCAACAGAAAAATCTCAGATGAGAGATCAGTATTCGATACAATTATGCATTATTACACAGAATGATTTTGCAGGTTCAATTCAGAAAAAACTTAATGTGACCCAATACATAAAACAGAAGAGAATCCTATGTGCTCAAGAGTCTTGTTGGACAGATGCCAATCAGTGCCCCTTCCGACTTTATTTTAAATGAGTTTTTACAAACCACTATATCAATTTTAACAATAAAGTATATAGCCATCATATATGCAAGTAAAAAAAAAATCAGGTCACAAAAACATTGATTAAAAAAATTGTATTATGAAAAACAGACATCATCTTATCCACTCATGTAACACTGAACTCCTATGGATTCTTTTGTCAGTTTAAAATCACTGGGCAATGCTGTAGAAATCCTTCCAGCTATTAAAATTATACTACTTTTAATGCATAGTTTGAGAACTAATATTTAGAAAGGAAATGGAAAATTCACGGCATTCATTTCATACCTACAACAGTTTTGCTAACACCACTTGGCTGTGGCAAGCGTGATGATGATGGTGGTGTTGATCCTATAGAAGGCATCTTCTTAACTGCAGCAGGTTTGTACTGTAACAAAATACAACCTAGAAATTTAAGCAATTAAATCAAACTATCTATATAACACTATAGGTAGTTACCTCAGGTACTGTGGGAAAACAGATGATGATTACCTAGTAGGTAAAACATTTCTGGTATGGGATGATGCAAATGGTTTCCACTAGTCTGCTTTCTTATACATACAGATGACACTAATAGGAAAGATAATATCTAACTCAGCGGGGTTTTTAAATATTTTTTTTCCTTTAACTATATGTCTTTGTGTATTTTCTGCTTTTGTACAGCTTTTCTCATAATTTTCCATAGCTGTCTCCTGAACTTATCACCTCATTACCAGCTAATTTTATAAAGACTACTCAAGGCCATGATCATTTAGGTCTTTCAAATCTTACTTTCACCTGTGTGCTCTGGACCATTTCCAGCACTGATTCAGAATACAGTGCAAGAATCACTAAGTAACTACTTGGGCCTGTTTAGCTCTTCAGAGCTCCCAGAGAAAAAGGGCATTACCACCAAATAAAACCACACCTACATTTTAATCCTTCATTTGTTTCTATCATACTGCAGCTCTTACCTTAATATACCTGAACTCCTCTAAGCCTCCAGTTAGCCAAAATATTGCTGTCAGTTCTCCTGTAGTCATGTACCTTTGTTCGTCCACATACGGAACAGTCTTGAATTGGATTCAGAAGACTTGCACAACAGAAATTCAACTTTCTTTATAAACACCAAATCTTTATTTCCCACTGCTACCCTTACCTGTCACTTTCACAAATCTCTGAATTACATTTGTGACTGGTTTTGGCTTTGCAATTGATGCTATCTGATTTATGGATCTCTGCAACTCTTGTAAGAAAGCAAAAACACCCTCCATGCTTAGTGCCTAATATCAGTATAGCACAAATAATAAAATTACAGAATAAAATAGTTAATTCCATTTAAGAGCAACACACTATTTAACAAGCTTGATTTGATGTCAAATGCAAGTTACAAGTTAAGAAAAAATGTTGTAGTTCACCTGTGTTCGAGTAGGAAGCTTCCCTTTGGTATCAGCTGCCAATTTCCCCTTATTAGTAATACGTGCTGCTTGTTCCTTACAGAAATTGATGTGTCTGTCAGCTGCATTTTCATTAAATCTCCTCTGACAATATGGACACTGAATGTAGTCTTAAAAACATAAAAGCCTAACATTAGTAACTTTTTTTTTTTTTAAATAAAGTGTTTTAAAGTCTTTCAAAGACCAGCCCCAGCCCCACTCCTAGAGAAAATTAAGGCCTCGTGAATCTGAAAATGAAATGCATATTGCTGGGGAAAAGAATATTGTCCACATGTAAAGCAAAAGATGTTTCTTGTTTGATGGATAAGAATGAGAAGAGTGGTTGAGGATCAGAAATACCCTAAGCGAAATAAGAAACACTTTGAGATGTGCTATTCAGCAGAGAAGGTGGCCAAACAATACATGGACACGGCAGGGATATCAGATGCAAGGGAGTGGAGAAGAGGTGAGGCTAAACAAAAAGAATCAAACACACAGTTCAGTTTGTTCAAGACATAAAAATGCATTAGAACCTTTCCCACACAAACAGCAAAAGACAACAAAATCTGTTTCCTCTGGCAGTTTTGAAAGGGCTGAGAAATACTAACTGCAATACTGGAAATCATAGTTAAGGAAAAAAAATTTGGATATTTAGCAACCAGAAAAAAAAAGCATCAGAGGAAGCACAGCCAAGATTAAGAGATACCTATAGAGACATGCAAAACAGGGTAATTGGTGACTGTATTATTTTTCAGTATTAATTTAGTCACATTACAAACAGTACTACTTGCAGGAAATATTATTACTAACATCGGGGGAAAACCAGAAGAGCTATGTAAATGTTTAAATTACTGAAAGGTCCCTCATCTGTATGCTGGAAATATACTGCTTAAAATACATTGCCCTTGGAAAGCAAAGTGTTTGGACTGCAGTTTCGGAGAGACATTTTACTGTCTAGAGACATGAATGTTGAATCCCCCAGATTACAGTATTCAAAACCATGTAAACATCAACTGCAGAAGAGCTTGACACTGGCAAAGCAGGTAAAATTTGTATGTTCCTAGGTGATTTTAGAAATGTATTGAAAAAAATAGAGGACAGATTCAACAGTCACTGCCTCCAAGATTACAGTTAGATATACAACCCAAAATAAGATTTTGATTACATGTTACTACTCCAAATGCAGTAGAACTGGCTTGAGTAGTTATCCCTTTAAATCAACAATTTTGAGTAAGTCAAATGACGCAGTGGCCACCAAACCATGAACTGTGACCCAAGAAGCAAGAGCAAAGGACACAGGAAGAATACAGGAATCCTTCACAGAAGTGACAGTATGGGAATCTCATGTGATAACAACAATGATTTTTTTATTTATTTATTTTACATAAACTCCACTACTGTCAGAATACTCAAACATAAACTATATCCTAAGAAATAGAAACCCAGAAGAAAAAGATCTAGAACATCTATAGGGTCAAACCAAGACAAGACCAAACAAAGTTTTTTTTAAAAAAAAAAAAAAGATAACAAAAGCAAAATAGATTAATAAAACAGCTATGGAAGCCCCTAGATAGTAAGAAAAGACATTTCTAGCTGCGGCACAGCTCAGGTCCAACAAAAGACTTTCAAAGCCCACTAAAATAAATGGATCAGACTGTAGAGGATTAACGTACACTCTTTTAAGAATCAGGGATTGTATCTTCATCCTTTTGTAAAATGCTTAGCACCAGTCAGCCACCTGGCTATGTGGAAGTACTCTTCGTACTGTCCAGAAGAACTGTTAGGATTCAATGTAAGCTTTATAAAATACAAACTAATCAAAGTAAGTGGGCAGTACACATATGCAGTCAAGTTCAATGCAAATGGGGTGACTTAAGGTCTTTCTTAATATCATGAGGCTATTCCGCAGTTGTTCTAAGGACAAGATGGAACATGAGATCAAAGAATCAGCAATACTGCTTGTTTGCAAACTCAAAGCATGCAATTAAGTAGGAAACAGTAATACAGAAGTCTTTTCTTTTAAAGGAAAAAGACTAGCAGCTAGTTAGAAATAGGCATGCCAAAGACAGAGCTGAGAAGGAGATGGATATACTCCATGATATCATGCATAACGCTCCCTCTCTCCTACATGTAAAGAGGAAAAGGAGCAAGGGTATCTGCTCCTATTCTGGTTTTGTTCTATTTGTGGGAGGAGAATCCATTGATCAACTCATGTATCTTCTCTTCATTCCTGGTTCCCTCCTCCTAAGTCTTACCCACTGCAGCAGGATGAAGCCAGGAGACTACAAACAGTAAGACTCAGCTTGGAAAAAGTAAAAATGGAAGGAAGAGAAAGAGAGGCACAATATTCTTCTCTTCCCTTTACCTCCTATCCGCTTTCAAGCAGGCTGAATAGAGTTACTTCCTTCACTTCAAACTCATTTGCTGTCTCTGGAACCAAGGGAGCACCATTTTAGTAGCTTTCCAAGCTATATTTAGTTCTGGGTTCTTCTGCTTGTACTGCAGAACCTATACAACTAGATTTTTAACAATCCTTTCCACGCTTGAGCCTTATGTTTCTTATCCACACCATTAGCTATTGGTTTTAGTTTACTTTAAGACACATATAGCCTTTCAAGATAGTGTACTGAATGGTGAATAATACGACTTCACTTCTTACTATGAATGCACAATTAGAATCCTAATACTGGACTAATACATTTTCTGTAGAGAAACAGGGTAGGGAACACTCACATCCTCACTTGACCACAGACAGGCAGAATGAAATGGATTATTTTTTCTAGTTTTCCCAATCTTTTTGAAAATAGCCATTGAGCTGATCAAATGGTTTAGCTCTTAGTACAAAAGGAAGAAATATATTCCCCAACCCATTACCACATCACAGAAGTTAACTGAAAAAATTTATTTCTTTCCTACTAACATCAGACTGCTTCAACACTTAACCTAGCCTCAGTTCTGAAGGCACCCAAGGACTGTTACCCCCTTGTTAATACAAATCCGACATGTCTCATACCCGAGATGCAAGTACCCCCACCACATATGAGGAAGACCACACACATGCTAGAGCATACACTCCGTACATGAAACTAAATGTGAATTCAGAAAAAAATAGGTGAGGCTACGTTTGAAGAATGAAGAACACAGTCAATGTGCATTCCTACAACAAAAATAGGTTGTGGGTGTCCAGCATCCACAGCTAATTCAAAAGGCAGTCTGCTCCTTCTGAGCAGTTCCACTGTTGTGGACAGAAATAAGTTGTTGAAACAATTTCTCCAGCCTACGGTTTATAAGACAATAGCAAGCTGCGAGTTGGCCACAACTACCTTTTGATGCATTAAATACAAAGTCATGGGCTTTGAAAGCCACAGAGGATGCTAGCCAGCCAGACCCACAATCACAAACCAGCATCTGCACAGGAATAATCAGTCAGTCATCTTTAAGAACTTGGGAATTTTGTATTCCAACAAACTCTTTCCAATTCAAATTTTCACAAATTAGGTTAAAAAAAAAATCTCTAAAGAACTTGATTTTTTCACATACCAGGGTCATATGATGGCGGAGGTGGTGGAGGGAGTTTTCCACCATCTTTAAGATTAAGTCCTTTGGCTGCTCGTATTGTTGCTATAAATTCCTCATGCTTTCGTCTCCAGTTGGAAGGTTTTTTGGGTGGTTCCGGCTACGAAGCCAAAAAAGAAAGAGCTCTGTATGTTTGAAGCTCTTACTTCAAGCTAAGTACGTGCCTTATTTTAGTACACAACATTATAGTTAGATTTCTTCCAAAGCCTAGTTGATCTAATTATCACGAATTGCCAGCAGAAATAAGCCTTATTATAATGCATAATTTGCCTAAAGTGTTCATATGCAGATTAAATTATAACATACCCGTGGTTTAAGAGGTTTTACTGTGGGAATGTCAGTTCCTTCTGCTCTCTGTCGGCTGGAATCGAATGTCTTCCTTTTCTTGGCAGAAGTTTTTTGGCAAATGGGTCCATGCTTTTTCTACAAGCAGAAAACAAAAGGAGAACATAGAACTTAGTTCTGAAAACATAAGTTATTAAGATATTATTTCCCTCTTTTCAGTATGCCAATCAGCAAACAAGGCCCAACTCTTGATGAAGAAGATCAGACTGCTTGCACTTAAATATTTATGTCAGCCATTACTTTCAGAACAGAACTACAGGAATTCACAAATGCATACATGGTCACAAAAACTTGGGTGACAAGGAAGAAAAATAGGAGGCATATGTATTTGCTCCTTGAAAATAAAAATTTGATGGCAGGTAGGCAGCATTTACGTTGAATGGCAAGACAAATCAGAAGTGTATGAAATTCACATTCATATTTAAGGACAGGCCAATTTCTATTAAGACTGGAGAACACAGTATTTTGAAGATGACTAACCAAACACTTCATTTACTAGCTAAGACTGCATGATGCTAGGGCTTACATCTGCAGAGGCAAGGAATGATTCTGTGACCCTAGAGAAGATGCTTTTAGAAGCATTTATTTTCAGAAAGTGACAGGATGCTGAAATAAAATTATCCTCCTTCGAAGGAGCTTCAAAACTGAGACAACTAGAATTGGTAATTATTGGGGAAAAACCCACAAAACCCCTACCAAAACCAAGAATCTAGATCTACTTTATTCAGCTATACTGACCATTGCTTACCTCCCATATGAACTTACTGGATCTAAAAGCAAACAGTGCTCATACTACTCACCAGTGCTGCTGGAAAGAAAGTCCTTCCACAAATCCTACATGGCAGCAGATCTCCAGTTTGCACTGTAACCTCACCTTAAAAAAAATAAAATTGAAAAATATATTACTATGAGAAAATTTGTTTAAATTCATGATAAAAGTTTCTTCCTCAATTGATAACCTCATACACTTAAGAATAGTAACAGTTTTGACTGTAAAAGTATGTGTTCTTTGAACTGTGCAGAGACTGTGTAGATCAGAAAGGAAAAGATGATACACAAGTCCTTACATACTTTTGGAAGCAGTCAGGCCCAGTAAGAGTTCAGCATCAATTCTGATAATATACAGTATGGAACTCTGCACCTTTAAAGCGATGCCTGTATGTCAACATGCAGATGACAGATTCACTGTAAGTCACAATGACAGCCCAAACACACACCAAGAATAACAATACTTAGTGGGTATTTCTGTGTCTTTGTAAGAGAATCATCTGTTACGGCATCAAAAAAAAGTCACATCCCATCACTTATTTTTCCTCTACGAAGTTAAACTATTCCACTTCCTCTTGGAAAGAAAAATTCTTGAATGCTATTTTTACTATATTTTATATTCAGATTATTACTGACAGTTTACAAAAGCATTTCTGATGTTGCTGTTCAAGCATTGGTAATAAAAATGTTAATGGTATGCTTGACATACAACAGATTCACAGAACCAGATAAAAGACCAACAAAAGTATCCAAGCCTATGCAAGCAAATATATTCATATAGTATGCATTATGCAACGGAGTCACGGCAGAGATTAAAAACTCCACAGGGTTTCCCAATAACAGGCATCTATTATATTTAGTACTGTACCAGAGATATTTTTTATATCACGTATGTATCAATAAAGAGGCAGTAAGTTTGGATTAAGTTTGAGAATTACTAGTTGCTTTCTCTGTACTCAGTCTGGCTATTGCAGACAATACAGCTACCTCTGTTGATATAAAGTTAAACCACTTTGAATTGACTTGTATTTTAGGCAAACTAGTGACTTAAACTAATGAAGTTATGAACATAGCAACGTTAAATTATTTGATCAGGTTTTGTCCCCAGTTCCCCACTGGAAAACAATTTTCCATCTAAACATATATAGTTGTCAATTAACTGCAGGACCAGTCCTAAAGAAAATGGAAAATTTAACAAACTGTTTCATGGCAAACAAATGTAGATTCAGGTAGTCATGTTTCCCATTGAAAAACTTTTTTCCCAAATGTAAACATTAAAATTGAGTGAGATTTCTAGTACCAAAATGTAACCATTAGGTCTATTTCTGCCTCTTTCAATTACTTGAAGTTCATCATCAGTATGTAACTATGTATAGTGTGTTAATTGTATTAATATACTATAGAGCACAATCCATTTTAAGAATCACAAATCATACGAAAAGTGTTCTGCAGTTTAAAACATTTATGTTCACATCTTTAATTTATATACCTTTTTCACTTAGACATGAATACACTCTTGTCACAGCACAGCAGGACTGTACTGACAGCAACTTTGAGTTTTCAACTGAAGTCATAATCATGCTTCCTTTTGGGTCATCTAAATGTATGTGTGTTTAGATATACACAAGTAGGGGGAAGTAGGAAAGGTAGAAAACATGCAGGTAAATCTTGCTTTTTTTCTACTCTGGCATCTGAATTATACTTGCATGTTATCAGCATTTACTAGGAACTTATTTTTTATTGTTAACTGTATTTCTTCAATCTCTATTTTAAACAATTACATCTGAAAATTTTTCCATATGCCTGTTTTCTTAAATCCACAAGCCTGAGCATGTTAATCACAAGTAATAACATGCACGCTGGTCACACATAGCTTAGATGGATGGAACCTGCCCTCACCATTTTCCTCAAAGGTAAGCAGCAATGGTTGTAAGCTTTTCTCAATTCCCCCACTCAAAAATAGAAGGCATGCACAGATTTATTTTGTTTGTTTCATTACTTCTCTCTTCAGAGTTCTCAGCACTCTTAGTAATGCAGACATCATTGCAAACTCACTTCTGCTGAGGAGTTCAACTTCCTTTTATCATATTATTCTAATACAACCCTCAGCTTTGCAGAAACAAGTGAGAGGGGCATTTCATGGAAATACAAAGTGACACTGTTTGTGTCTAAGAAGTTGGCTGAAATAAATCTTGGAAAGTGATCTTGAAATCAGGTGTATAGTATTAGATTAAGGATCTGACTGAGAGAAGAATTCTTTCAAGTATCTGCCTCAGTAAAAGAAAAGCAGCTACATTTTCCACCATATTCTTCTGTTCACTGAACTCTGGAATTTGAGCTTGTGCTTAAAATTCACCATTAAAAGAAGTAGACTTGCTAGATGCTCACCTCACTGAGCAGTATTTACATACGACATACCAGTGCATAATGAATGCCAATTAACACTCACTGCAGCTACAGTTACAGAGCTGGATTTCCTTACAGCATTCCTCACCCTCCTTTGCTGCTGGCAGGTACTCAATCACATTTGCCAAGAGCTATTTCTACTGCCAACCTCTCCTTCCCTGGATACAAATCACTGACCCAGAACACAAAAGGAAGTTATTTTAAAAAATGAGAGTTCCTTAAGTTTTGTTGAAATTGGGAAGCCTACAGCCCTTTATATGTGGACACTTATCCCTTCAATTCCTTAGTCATGCCTCCATGAATTTCCTCTCCTTTAAGGTAACACACTCCCCCCACTGCAAAAAAAAAAAAACCACAAAAAAAAAACCCACCAAAAAACCCCCACCCACACCACAACCCCCCCAGAAACACCACAAACAAAACAAAACCACAAAATCTTAACATTCTCCCCTAGAAGCCTATGAGCCTTCCCTTACAGAAGGGTTACAAATGTCATCAACATGAAATCTGATAATTTTAAAATAAAACATGGGAATAAAATTGTGAAAGTTGGAAAAGAGTTGTTTTGGTTTTTCATTTATGCATTACATCTAATGCCCTCAGTACACTTGTTATTGACATAGCTTCTGCACAAAGAGTGACATAAATACACAACGTAAAGGGGGAGGAATTCTTACACATCTTTTGGTAGTAAAGTAAAAAGTTAGTATTTCTAATACCAGCAATAAACACAGTAACTTTTTTCAGTGAATTCACTGAATTCTTTTGGCTGTAGTTTTCCAGCATAATGACTATAAAATGCAATAAAATAAGAAAAAAAAATCTTATTAGGCATGGACTAACTGAATTTTTTTCCTGATCAAAAGTTAACAGAAATGGGTTGTTAAATTGGAATGTATTGGGGGGTGGGGGGGAGAAGGTAAAAAACAGGGCACACTCAAATCAAGAAACAGAAGGATTTGCTTGGCAAATAAGTCTGAGAACAGAAATTGATAGCAAGATGGTGTCATAACAATTTTCTTTAGTATTCTTTAAATCTAGCAAAAATGCAGGGATTGTCCTCGTTTTGATTATACAACCACAGAAGACCCAAGATCTAGCAGCAACACTCCTTTTCCCTTTTACCATCTTTAATACCACTAATCACCAGCAGTTTACATGCCTCTATTAAACATGAATGAATAGTTAACTTAGAAAAGGACGGACATAATTATTACTGTTTATCTAATCTAAACACACCTAGGGAAAAGAGAAGTCTCTTCAAAACAGTTATGTGAATACCAAAGGAAGAAGTATTTAAGTTGAAGTGATGCCAGAACTATGATATACAGCTTTACACCTTATTCTCCTACTGTCTGCTTGAGACCAGGTCTCAAATAAAACCACAGAGTTCAACGTAGTAAGATGCTGGGTATCTGAATTAAACAACTAGCTTAGGAGTTTTATTAGCAGCACTACAATAATCTCACCACTTGTGTTTCTAAACTGTCCCTGTCAGAGCTCTTCCTCATCTAGCCGCTTCCAGAGTACAACCACCTTCCAAATTATTTTTTTCTACCTGCAAATGAGTAAGTTATTGCACACATTCCTTTTGAATATGGTCACAGTCCAGTTACCCACCCTTTCTGTTCTTGAAGTTGGAGTTTAGCTGTGAAGTTCAGGTGGACCTCGAAGTCTGACAGTTTCCCATATGTAGCACAGTGCTTTCAATATTCTCATAGATGAGTTTAGACTTGCCTGAAACCTAGATTTCCACAGAAAACTTTTTCCTTTCTCTCCTCTCATGTTCAAATACAGCAACTGATTACAGCAGGAAGTGCAATTTGTCAGGCCTCAGATTTATCTTCCTCCGTACAACGTGTGGATCCATCAATACATACAAGCTCGATCTTACACAGTCACAGGCATAATGCTAGCTCTTGCTGTTGTGTTTACAAATTAAGCAGTTGTGTAAATAGACCCCACACGCAGAGGGAGCAGAAGTCTTCAGTATTGCTGAGCAGCTATTAATTGAAGTTTTGTCACAGTTTTCTGGAGAGCTGTGTATACCCAAGTATGTGTCTGCACGTAGATATAAAGTACAGAACGCTCCAATGAAACAAGACTGCGCTTAATAACAGTATTTTGTTGTGTTGTAAAATCTGTTTGTCCTTCAAAACCTTTTATTTGCGTTTACTGTCACAGCAGTGACAGCACTAAATTACTTTGGCCAGACAACTGTGATAATCAGAACCATCAAGCCTCACTGAATTCAAACTTGCAGAAACACTCCAGTACGATTTCCAGCCTTGAGACTAAGTACTTATTTGAAACCAGCAAGTAATCTACAACTGTTGAAAGTTACTACTTGAAGAGTGCTTGCCAAATTCTTCTCCTGCAAAATTGTATTTATTGCTTTTAGCATAACTCCTCTCTCATCTCCAAAAGCAGGGTATTTTCCACTTAAAAGTTCCACATAAATACTTCAGGTTCAAAAAAAAAATGTGGTGCATTCCCCACATTAATTGAAATCTATATTGGAATCTATATCATCAAGCCACCACATCTAGTTGTTTGGGAACTATCAGTCTCCAACACATGTCCACTAATCAGTACTGATTATGTTTTTTTAATCAACATGTTAACTAATAATAAGTCTGAAAAGACTAATGACAAATACCATAAACAAGAGCCACCTAAAAATGATGCAGTGACGTAGGTAGGGAACACTCGCTTGAAGCCAAATACAATTTACAGCCTTAATTTTTAAAAAGTAATTTTAAAGGGCATTAAATAATGAAAAGACAGATGTATAAAAGTAGAAAAAACACGTAACAGTAGCGGCGTAAGTTTTGCAAGTATTCATTATTTTGCCAAAAGGAATTCTGAAATGCAAATGGAAGTCAGACAAATTCATCACACTGCCTAACGGGCAGTACTTGCCATATTTCAGTAACATCTGCTTGATAACTGACAACATGCATGATTTACCCCACCAAGCAAATCCCTTCTTGCCTATGCTATTCGGTAGTTTGCACAAAGAGTTAGAGAAAGGAAGAGGAAATCACAGTAAGCTCTGCCTCTTAGTATTCAACCTTTCACATACTTCCAAATTTTTACACTATTAGGTTATTCGCAATTGTGTAACAAATAGCAAACCAAGCTACTGTTACCTATCTACCCCTAATTTTAGAGGAAAGCCTCATGAATTCTCTTCTACTTCTGTATCGACAATGCAGTCTAATCTTGTATAAACCTGTCACTTCTGCTTCTAAAAGATAACAAAAAGCAGCATAACTTCCATTCCTTCAAGCTGAAAAGCTTAAGCAAGACTCTCGTAGTACCTCTGCATGTTTTTATATCAGCTCTTCAGTCTGACAATGCAAGTGCATTATATTTGCCAAAATTACTGTTATTGCACTGAACATGAGACTAATGATGGTGAGTTCTTGTATTACTTTCTTGAGAACAGCATGTCAAGAAGAGCCCCACTGCCTCAAAGTGACAACCTGGAGGAGGATTCTATGAAGGTTTTTTTGTGACTGAAAAAGGAATTGCAGGCAGTTAAGAATGGTTGTAATGGCAGCACACACACAACTTGCATTGTGGTGTAATCCCCTTCTCTGTAACTGACTGTTGTCCTTCTTTTCTCTCTTCCTCGTATGAGCCTAACTTTTAATGTGAAAACATGCCAATGCCACACTACACATCCTTAAAAATAACCGCGTCTCCTGGACTCCTCTCTAGGTCCAATCTCATGGGATTCCTCCGAGCAGATCCCTAAACAAGTCAAAGCCTGCTCTCCTGAAGTCCAGGGCTGACATCCTGCTATCTGCACAGCCCCCTCCTCTCAGAATGCTGAATTCAATCGTCCCACGGTCACTGCAGGTAAGGCTGCCCCTGACCTCACATCTCACACATTTGTAAGTGTGAAGTCCAGCAGGAGTGCCTCCCCTTGTCAGCTCTTCGATCACCTGGCTCAGGAATTTGTCATCAATGCATACCAGAAGCCACCTGAATTGCATGTGCCTTGCTGATTTATCCCTCCAGCAGGTATCAGGTGGTTGAAGTCCCTCGTGGACCAGGGCCTGTGAATATGAGGCTGCTTCCAATTACCTGAAGGAGGCCTCATCTTCTTCCTGATCAGGTGGTTTGTAGCAGATGCCCACAGCAATATTTCCCACATCAGTCTGCCTGCTAACCCTGACCCATAAGCTCCCAGACGGCTCCACAGCAAAGCTCCATGCATTCTCGCTGCTCTCTCACATAAAGGGCAACCTTCCCCCTTGCCATCCAGCTGGTTCTTCCTGCAGAGCCTGTATTCATCCACCGCAATGCTGCAGTCCTGTGAGCTGTCCTACCACCTACGTGTGATCCCGACAGGATCATAGCCCTGCAACTGCATGCAGGCCTCCAATTCCTCCCATTTGTTCCCATATTGTGAATGTTAATGTACAGGCACTTTAGAGAGGCATTGAGTCGTGATGATTACCCAGGAAAAAAAAAAAAAAAAAATTCTATGAGAGCTTCCCCTGTAATGTGTAAGGAAACACAACAAAACCAGAATGCAAATAAGCAACACTATTTGATCGATCTGACTTCCAAATACATTACCTGGTCTTCTATTAACGAGCCTTAAGATCAACTAAAGCCACTAGAAAGCATGTGACCTGCAAAATCTGTGTACACGTTACACAATTTCTACTTTGGCATCATAACCTCAGTATTCTCCTGTATTAGGCTACGAGCACCACAATGACTGTAAGCAGGCAGTCAAGCGATGACTAGCCTTCTCACACCAGCCTTAAACCAAAACTGCTTTGTACCACTGACCCTGAAAGCAATTCTGGACTTACATACTCTACTACTCAAATGTAACTGGACAGAACAATCCCAATCTAAGTCTGCTTGCTTATCACAATATTACTCAGCTAACAGTAAAATCATGTGTTAAAAACAATTTTGATAATAATCTTCATTTATAATATATTGATTCCTAGTTTGTTCCCTGCTCTGGAATTTCTGTACAAATTAAGGCCACTCCTCACCCCCTCCAGTCAACTGTTTAACATACTCCTAGAACTAGATTTTACTGAAATGTAACAGCTGCTTTTGATAATCACCACATCATGCGTGTGTGTGAGGGTAAAATACATTCATCTTCCCACTATATTCAACCAATTGAATTCAATTACTAGATCAATCTAGTTTTTGCAATTTAAGTTAAAAATGCAAGAATTCTACAAAAGCTATAGAAAAGGGTGTAAAATCTATTAGTTCTAAGATGCTAAAGAAACTAGTTTGAAACACTCAAATTTATGTCTATACATATTACCTCCTTTCCTTTAAAGGTGAAACATACTCTGATAGTGCACTTCCCCTATTGTATCAGCCTAAACTTAGCTTTCAGAATTTTTCCTTAAGTAAAACATTTAATTTCCATTTCTTCCCCAAAACATAAACATTAATCAAAAAAGTAAAAAAAAAAAATTGCCTCAAAAAAGTAAATACATCGATCACAAATATACAGCGTACTAAATGTCAAAATTAGATCACTTAACAGAGGTGCAAGTACACCCAGTGAAGCATAGCAGTTCAATGCAAAGTCACATTTATCATTGTGTTTTAATGGCTACTGGAACCAAACAACTTCTTAAAAAAATACACATTAATACTAGTTTTGCATTTCAATCTTTAAGTTTCCAACTTGCTGATTTAAGAGCGGTACTGTAAAACCAGTTCTTCCTTCTGTTGGACAGATAAAATACCTAACAAAAAAAATAAAAGCAAAAAAAACCCCAAACCTGAAGAGTTCAAAAAAGGCAGGAGCTTCTCTCAAATGGAGCTTAAGAAAATGGCTGCCAAAGTAAGGGAGCTGCCGCATGCATCCAGTGAGGAAAGACAAAGATTAACGCTGAAGGGAAAGGAAGATTCACAGGAATATTATTTTTTGTTTTCAAAACAGAAATAATTTTCTACACTGTTAGGCAAAAAAAAGACTGGGCATTAGCTTATTCAGGAATTCTGTCAAGGCAAGCATAAGCACTTGCTTTCAACAGCCATATTACTGATATAAAACCCCAAACTAGAATGCTCGCACCTTTGGGGTAGAGTGGGGTGTCTCAGACATTATCGGTGCCACTGAAAGGTCCCAAATACTATTACAACACAGATCTCGGCTCGCAGCAGAAGACACTACACAGTGAGCCGTACTCTGACGAGACCCCAAGGGCACACCCAGACTGCTCAGAGTCTAAATGCTCAATCACGGCAGTCTCTACTTGGCATCTGCAAGGGAAAGCTCTGGGTTTGAAACTGCAGGCTACTTCCTGAGCAAGCAGCCACCCATCCCCTCCCAACCACAGCCAGCCTTTCCTGGCTGCTAGAGCGTAGGCTGAAGGAGAATGCTGGGGCTGGGTAAGCGCTGCCATTACCCACCAAAGAGAGCTGGACTTTTGCCCTCGGACGCAGCTGCCCCTCTGCCCTTTACTCCTTAGGCAGCAGCAGTCCCGACCCACTGGGATGGGCTGCAAACAAGTGTGGGAAGTGGGATTTAGTTGGCTCAAGCAGCTGTTGCCAGCATCCTCCCAGAAAAAACAACAGGCTGGAGAGAAGCCGATCAAACACACCATTGGACTGCTCTGGCCTAAATGAAATTGGGAATTCAGTGCTTAGATCTCCTCCTCCATCTCCTTCAAGCAAAACAGAGAGCAACAAACATGCCAACATGACAGCTTTTTTCTTTGCCATCCAGCAGTGAAAGCAACAAGCGCGTGTTACGGCATTGAAAATGGTCCCGAGATTCAGCCCACTGTGGACTACTCAGGAAAGGGTTTTTAAACTCACCTTAGAGATCACTACATTTTCAGGCACACAGTTTATTGCTCCGAGTATTTTCACCAGTAAATTAAATGAAAATTGAAACACAGCCAAACAGCTCACAGGCTGCAAAGTAACGAACGCTGAGCTAGCAACTTTAGATTTAACATCAAATTTGTCACTTCCAATGACAAGTGTGCACTGAGTCCTTTTACAAAACTTTAAAATTATAAATTTGACTTTCACTATCAATCTAGTAATATAACAATACTGTTATAGAAATAAAATAATACAGCAACAGACTTAAAGCAACAAAAGTCAGTTTTAGAAGAAACTTTTAGGTCACACAGAAACCTACTTTGCCATTTCACTGAACATTTAAACTTGAACACAGTGAGAAAATGCAACTGCAACACTGGAAATAATATTCAGCTTTTTAAATGTCACCAATGCAGCTCCACAAGCCAACTAAAACACACTCAACTCTCCACTTTATGGAAAAAAAATTGCTATAAACTGGGTAGAGTTCCTTCTTACTAATAGCATGCTTAAATAAACACAAATAAAACAGATCTTGCACCTATAATGTTGAGCTTCAGAAAAGCAAAGCACCAGCTTCGGAGGGTGGAAAGTCCAGGCCAAAAGTCCTAAGCCTGAGGGGGGCTTCCACAGTCATAAAGACACACCAGCAGGCTGCTGCCAAAAGACAAAGTCCTGCCCTCCACCATAATCAGGTCCCTCACACACACAACTGCCAGGACCCGCTGTACAAATCAGCTCTGGGAATCGATTTTGCTACGCACTAACATACAGAGGGAGCAGGCTGAGCCAGATTTCAGAAGCAGCCCATACTTCCATGTCAGATGGATATTACTGTGCAACTGTGCTTCTAAACACAAATTTAATCTAAAATGGCACCAGCAACATTCTTCTGAGTTGCCAGGGGAGCAATGACTGGGAAAAAAAGCGTAATACCCAATGAAATAATTTATTGTTGTTACTGGTTCTGCCTACATTTTTCCTGTCTTGGGGACACCTTTCTACAGAAACTTCATCTAAGCCTAACATGCATCAAGAGAGACAGCTTAAACTGAAAAATTGTAAATAAAAAGCAAAACCACTTGCTTCAAATGCTTTGAAGCAAAAAATGAAGTATTTTATGTTGTAGCGATTTGTTTAGAGAAAGAAAAACAGCACAGTGTGACCCACAAAAATGCAAAGTAACATATTCTTCAGTTTCAAGAACTTTAGCATTCAAGGATGCTAGATAACAGTGTGGGATATAAGTGTTCACAATGCAAGGACATCTGAAGTTTTAGAAATAGTTTATGACCTGTGCCATTCTCAAATTAATCTCCTGTGTTCAGAAGGTATACTTCACATCACAGAAAAATGCTTTGATAAGCTCTAGCTTTCAAAAGTACGTTCGAGAAACAGTTCACAGAATAACCATGAGATTTCATCTATGATTTAGCAGTTCTTCCTCCCACCACTTCCAGTACCTATTGAAATACAAACAAAATGTAAACCATTTCCAGCAAAGTTGGAAGCTGGACAAATTCTACTGCAAGAATGACAAGAGTTTTTCAGGCTTCTGCTGTTATCTGTAGATCTGCTTTCTTTCCACCCTATGTTATGAAGGTGCTAGAGCTTATACCACACAGCTGGCATAGCTGGCCTTGCTAAGTTGGCTCACAGCCAAATCGATCGATGGATGGGCTGCAGATGACAGGCAGTCCCATCTGCAGTCAAACACATAGCTGACTCAAAAGTAAAGCAAGCTTTCACCCTCTGGACAGGCAACATATGATTGCCACGAGAGTTGGAGTGTCTGATAAAAGCATTACTGGATAAGCCACTGGATACCACCTTTCAAATTTAGAGGGCATTAATAGCCAGCAAAGCATAAAGAGTAAATAAAAGATAACGTCTTGGGGTTTTAATGCCAAATCATATTGTCCAAATTTACAGTCTTGACAAAGTCACTAGGCATAAGAACAGAGTCTGATGACTGTAAAATCTACTAAAGACAGAAGACAGGTATTCAGTGAGAATTACTTGCCTCCTCCAACTGTGCTAGAAGGGATACAGGACAAAGGCTGTTCTGTGCTCACCCCTATTTAAGCACTCAGCTACCTCTAGCGAAGCAGAGCATGGAAGACTTAATGACTGTTTTGTGCTAGTTACTCAGAACAGGTCTGTATCTTTTCTCAAGTAATATGGTTAAAGCAGCTTGTAAAGCACAGGAACGACAGGCCTACCGACATGCTCAGAGAGCAAGCCATAACTTCATAAATTCCAAGCTGGCATCTCTACTATGATGGATACTCCAGAGGGTGACAGTATCTTCAGTAACATAACCACCACAGGATACAGTTGCAAGTACTCTGTCAGCAAACACACACTTGGTCTTCACGGCACTGAACACCT